CTGCGATATAGCGCGTCTTATCCTCCACTGCCATGCAAGTTACGAACGTTGCAGAGGACAGGGTTGGCCCCGAAAGACACGACGTCCACTAACAGTAGCTATGTACGACATAGCATTTAGAAACTGTCAGGACGGATATAATTTGATGTACTCATGAGTAGGGGATTTTGATGCAATTATGTGAGGTCCATCGCAGTCAGTTTCCAAATCAGATAGTCGTCCATATGTCCGGAAAAGCACTAGACCGCAGTTTCAGCCTGTTGGGCATCGTCAGTAGTGCGCATCTGATTTGGAAACTGGCTGCGATGGACCTCACATAATTACATCAAAATCCCCTACTCATGAGTATATCAAATTTAGATAATCGCTTTGGGAAGTTCGAGGGGTACTCGATTAATTTTATGCAAGACGATAAAACATAATGATGGTAGTTGTTAAAGTGTGTCCGATTAGTACCAGATCATATCTTACCGATCGTACTACGTTTCTGATTTTCAATTGCCTACATTAAATTTCTTGTGTTATTTGTTCCATATGTACCCGCATGCTTTGGGAAATTTGAAGGTTAAGGCACCGAGCTTCAATAGAATTTTTCTCCTTGTAAGATATTCATGAATGCCATTGAATTTCGTATGCACCAGTCAAAGCGGGGCTGCTGAGTAGACGTCTAACTTTATGATGGACGATGATGAAGAGGACCTGTAGAAAACGTTTTGCTGTGGACACGATGAGGAAACTCAGCAAACGACTCGGAATAAAATAGCTCATACAATTAGGATTAATTTAGCGACCATCGATGGAAATATTCGTGAACAATTGGACATGTCACGGGGGACTGAGCAACACGTGTCAAGAAGATTTTGATACTGGAAATGAAGGAAAAGCACTCCGATATTCACGGGAACAAGTTGACCTCCTGCATAAAAACGGGGGTTAAATTTAGTAGTGGTTATTGACGACAAGGGATGACGCTTGGTGTTATAATTATGATTTTGGAACAAACTAACCACAGCCCAAACATTGGGAACCCCATAATCTGCCATCGCGCAATAAATTCAAAGTGCAGCCTAGTGGAAGCAACATCATACGCCCAATTTTCTAGGCTGCTTGTGTCATGTTTTAAAGTAAAAATGTTCCACACAAGATAACAATAAGGGATACCGGATGCTCTGATCGGGTTCGGAGACTTGTAGATATTAGAACAGAAAATTTGACAGAGTATTAAGAATTATTATTCTGATTCTGCACTATAATGCCACAGCTCATATGGATAACACATCAAGGACTGTAATAAGTGGACGTCGCTTTCAGGAATGCCGTCATTCAACCTACTCCTAAGTCGTGGCTTTATGTGAGCTATCCAAAAGTTAAGCAAATGGCTTCAGACGAAGAATTAAGTGGGGGGATTTGAAAGCCTGGTTTATGGGACAAGAAAGACTTTATTTGCAATGATTCGGAATACCTGTAGCTCGGGTTCGTAATTAACGTTTTCATTCGTTCTCCGAGCTGAGTAATTTAATGTCAAACGTTTCACCACTTCCCTCAGTGGCATCTTCAGTGTACAGCTCCGTAGGGGAAATCTCACGGAAAATGTCGTTAGGACGTAGCGTTTGAAAATAGCCTCGTCGATCTGTGTCCCGTGACCTTCGTTTGTTCGATACTTAGCCGTCCTCTTCACGCTTTCTCAGCTGTAGGTACACGGGATCGAGATCAATGCGGAGGCTCAGGGAATTCTCCGTAGAGAACCATGCCTCAAGGAATTCCCTTCCTTTTCTTGTCTTTCCGTGCGCCAGAATTTCTGCTTTGTCCCAGTTAACACTGTGTCCTTCCTCATCGAGGTGTGCTGAGATCTGTGAGGATACATGATGATATCGGCACGCACGCTTGTGCTCTTTTATTCTTGTGGATAGTTTTCTCCCCGTTTGACCTACATAGTCTTTGTCACAATTGTCGCATTTTATCCTGTAGATGACATTTTGGTGTTCTTGTGCCTCCAGTCTTTCTTTAGGTCTAGGTAATATTCTTTTCAAAGTCCCAGTTGGTATGTGAGCTATCGTCAGGTTGTGCGGTTTGAGGAGTCTGGCTGTCTTTTCCGATATGTTTTTGATGTACGGCAAGGCGATGTGTTTCGTCGTCGTTGGTGCAGGTGTGGTAGTTGAGCTCCTTCGCTTTAGGTGCCTTCAAATGAAGCTGCGTGGGTAGCCGTTACGAATGAAAGACCTAAAGAGATGTTCTTCTTCCTTACGTTTTGCCTCTGCAGTATTGCAATGCGTTTCTATCCTACGAAACAGGGTCCGTATACAACTTATTTTGTGACACTTAGGGTGATTGCTGTTAAAGTTTAGGATTTGGTCGGTGTATGTTGCTTTTCTGTAAACTGATGTCAGTAATTCGCCTTCTACCGTTCTGGTGACCAGCACGTCCAAAAAGGGTAGTTGGTTTTCCACCTCCTCTTCTATGGTGAAACGGATGCCTTCCATTGCATTGTTAAGTAGGTCTTGTGCGGTCTGTAGCTGGTTGCGTTTGAGAATCACAAACGTATCGTCAACGTATCGCACCCATAATTTCGGACTAAGGACTGGGAGTATATCCTCTTCCAACCTCTGCATGATGACTTCTGCAATGAGTCCAGATATGGGGGATCCCATTGGGGCTCCTCTAACGCTCGTAGAACACTCCGTTGAATTTGAAGTAAGTAGTAAGACACAAGTCGAGTAGCTTGCATATGCTTTCAGTTGTTAGATTCCCAGTCGTTTGTCCTCCATTATTCAGACGTTCTTTGATATTTTCTTGCGCTATCTGTAAGTTGATGGAGGTGAAAAGTGCGGTGACGTCAAAGGATACCATCACTTCTTCATGGTCTGTCCTTATGCATTTGAGCTTTTCCAAAAACTGATGAGCATTACTGATGGAGTATTGCGATCCGTTGGTCAGATGTTTGAGGCTCTTCCATAATTCTTTAGCCAAGTTGTAAGTTGGTGTACCTGGGAGTGATACTATTGGTCGTAGCGGCACACCCTCTTTGTGTACTTTAGGAAGCCCGTAAAACTGTGCGATGTTTGGATCACGAGCCTTCATTCTATCATACTCTCCCTTTGTGAGTTGACTTAATTCTTGAAGTTTCTTAAGTGTCTTATTCACTTTATTTGTCAACCCTACTGTTGGATCGTTCTCCATACGTCGATAGGTTGTTGTGTCGGCTAGGAGATGACTTGCCTTTTCAATATAATCAGTTTTGTCCATTATGACAGTCATACGTCCCTTGTCCGCAGGCAAGATTACGATGGTTTCGTCGGCCTTCAAGAATTTCAGGGCACTTTTCTTTTGTTGTGAAAATGAGTTGTGTTGCTTGTTGCGTGCTAGCATCGGAACCACGGCATGTCTTATTTCTGTTTTGGTTTCTTCGTTAAGTCCATTGGATTGTAAGGTATTTTCTAATTCTGCTAGGAAGTCCAGGGTTCCAGCATCCTTGAAGTTGTAGTTAAGTCCCTTGATTAGGACCTGTCGTTCAACGTCATTGAGATTCCGTTTGGACAGGTTCCTGACCCAACCATCGTTGACATCTGCGCACTTCAAGTTGGACAATTTGGACAACTTTTCTCGTAGGGCGGCCTGCTTTTTCGCTTTTGCAATTGTTGCTTTGCGATCAATCACTAAGCCTAACTGTTCTGTCATTTGTTGGCTAACTGTTTTTAGGCATGTAGTTCGATGTTCCTTAAGGCATCTTTCATATTTCTCGATCCGATTGTGTGCATCTGTGATCATCATCCTCACCATACGTTTTCCAAACTGCCTTGCAACTGCCCACGCTTGCGGATGGTTTATCGGAGGCTTGTAGTTTACACTTCTGGGGAGAATGTCATTCGTAGGCATTCATGGAGGAAGAATAACTGTTCTTGTGTGGAGGCTTTCCGGCAGGCAAAGTCTTCCCAACGGCGTGCAGATCGGAGCGTCGAGCGCCCATGATTGTTTGCAATGATTCGGAATACCTGTAGCTCGGGTTCGTAACGCTACGTCCCAACGACATTTTCCGTGAGATTTCCCCTACGGAGCTGTACACTGAAGATGCCACTGAGGGAAGTGGTGAAACGTTTGACATTAAATTACTCAGCTCGGAGAACGAATGAAAACGTTAAGACTTTTATTTATGTGGTAACAAGCAATCGTGTCACTGATATGCGGAGTGTATTCAAGTCAGAAAAATTACAGAGAAAAATAAAGGTATTTTAGCATGGCTGCTGCACACCAGCTATGTTATATTTAAAACTTGTCGAACTACCGTTGTAGTGGACAAATTCGCCGATATTGTCAACTATATGCATACGAACGTAATTAAGTAAAAGATTGAACTAAACACAAAGTAAGCCATCTCATAGTGATATATCTTAACTGTAGCTGAAGTCATCAACGAGAGTACAAAACAGTTGCGCTGCTATTTTGTCATCTATCTAGTTAAACAGATGGTATATCAAAAGAGATACTATGTTATAACATGCATCGTCCTTGAATTTTGAAAATTTCCAAAATAAAATGGGGCGGAAACGATGCAAGCGCAATGAGGACGAATTAACGTGAGACCAGAAAAAGGACCCCATGGGGTGTGTGAAATTAATAGCACTACCAATGATTTACTATCGATTTTGTGCGAGACACAACCAAACTGGCGGGATAAGTTAAATAGGCTCTTCAGGATCGCTTCGATCACACTCTAATCGGTATGGGGCCAACGTACAATAGATGAGACGGTCCACAGCATAATGGATTATAATCGTAATAGTGTGTATTCTAGTTTATACTGTGTTACGCTACATCGTGTACGACCCAAGTTACTGAGTTCATAACAAAGAGAAATCTGTTATGACTGCTGCCGCCACAACACTATCGTTTAGGAAGCGAAATATAGTGGCTGGTCCATTGAGTCACCAGTTGAACGTGTTGAACCAATTTTAGCAAAGGTATAGTGACCAATTTTGTGCATTTTCATCACTTTCTAACGTCGTTCAGTGTAGAGCCCGTGGCTCGCTAGTACTTACCATAGCATCATGTGTCCTGACACCGTATCGATCCAGTTGGCGAGCGACATTGAGAAATTCCAATTCAGCGGCATTCGGGAGCATTGAACTGAAATAGATGGGAAATCAACACCAAGTATTAGCAGTACCCTCTTCATGGGTGCTGGATTTTTGATGCTAATACTTATGGGTTCTTCACAGTCGCTTCCAAATCAGACAGCTGCTGTCTAGCTCCGGAAGTCGCTATGGTTCGTGGATTAAGTTCCCGACGCAGCCGATGAATGCGCACTGTTTACGAGTCCTGATGGGTCGAAACACCCCTCTACTGCTTTTCTGGGTGTGTGAAGTACTGCCCGACTTGGAAGCGGTTGCAAAAATCGCCCAATTTTCTAACAACGCAACTGATTTCCCTGGGCGAAGACAACTGTCACCACTGGACCATTACGCAAAGCGTTTATCGAGAGCAGAAATTCACCCAGAAGGGAAGGGGAGGGAAGACCTGCGGCTGTACTAAAACACGCTCGCAGTTCCCGCGGTTTTCATTCGTGGGGACTATAGACGTACGATTTCGGGGTAATTGTGTTGGCATCTGATCCGCATAATCACTAGGGATGAACCAAATGCTAGGTTGGGAATGTTAGCCTGTTGAGGGTTTATATGGCGCAACAGAGAACCACCGCCTGATCAATTTTTCGAGACACTATTCATCCAAAACGCGCGTGCAACCTTGCCTTCGAGATAGACACTTCAAATTACCACGTGCGATGGGCCTTCGTAAACATATAATTCACTAGAACATTAACGAGGTGCAGGCTGGAGAGGAATTTCTTCAAGACTGATTACTGCAATGTTTCATGGAAAACAGTGGAGGGAGCATTGTGATGTACTGCATCCCAACCGAGTTTGTATCCTCGATCCCAAACCTGATATCGTGACCAAATCCAATATATGTGAACCCATTCCCGAAACCTTCCCCCGTTCCTTCATACACCGACATGTCTGTATCTTCATTCCCTCCTGCATATACATGTCTATTTATCTCTCGTGACAGATCATTGTCTCTTTCGTTATCCGTTGAACGCACCGAGATTTCCCTCAAGCCATTTCGATGACCATCCAACCTCGTTTTATTCGTGTGATCAAGCAATCCCATCGCTTCACGCACCCTATAAATGCGTTGTGTAATGTGGTGAAGGGACTTTGTACCATCCTATGTTGGCTTTCAAACCGAGTTGCTTGCTGTTGTATCTACTTTGATACAGAAGCGTTGCTGGTGCTGAGATATATCTCGTTAGTGCTTACTAATTTGTTTGCAAGTAGTAACGTAATACAGTTCTGGCCTAGTTGCAGATTTGTTTCCGATGTACAATCACCACTCCTAAGAAAATGCTGTCGCTTGCACACAGTGTGGGCGGTACTGTGACGAGGAAGAACCTTTACCGTCTAATCCGGAACTATTAAGATTTCTGTCTATCTACAAAGTTGCAGTGAACTGTAGGCAGACGTGCTGAATGGACAAAAACAGTGTTTCGGACTCTTCAAAGCATCTCCACGTATGGTTCCAGTTGTCATATTCAGAATAACTTCGACATCAAAAGCGTGTACATTTGCTACAGCAAAGCGTTCAGCGTTCACAAAGGGTTTGTCAACACTGGGACTCTCTTCCAAATTTAGTTCTTTCCTGCCCCAACTTGGATATTTGCAAAAAAACGACTGGATCTCGCCCTTAGCCCCCAGCACTTCGTTGCCTAAATTGTGCCATTTTGTACTATAGTAATTATCCCTTTAAGTCGGATTAATATATCACATAAACCTAAGAAGACGATACAGAAGTGGGTATTCGTATTTTTACTTTTCTCACGGAATACATCAACTATAAGTGCCCCCATGTTGCCTCGTCGTTCGCATTCAATTCTCAGTTATACTACTATTATTTAGCTGCGTATCTCCTCGATAAACGCTCAAACAGGCAACTTACCTATCTTTTGATATTGTAGTTTCACTCCCACCATCCTAAGGGACTTGTCAAGTAACTGCTTTTTTACCCGGCATAAATCATCGTTCATTGCCCATTGACTATCTTTTACGACCTTCAGCCTTTGCATTGATATACTATTTGGCCACGCACGACCATATGCTGTATTGCTCGATTATTGTACCAATTGCGCAGTGTCAAGTGTCTGGTTGGTGCTCCAAAAGCAACTGATTGTTATGCATTCTATCGATTACGGCATAAGTTATGAAGATACAACGTACACGCATTTCAACGATTTCAATATTACATATAGTGCTAACTTTAATATATAAGAATACTAATTCAACTAAGCAGAGAGTAGTCGTCTCTGTTATTGCTCCGAGTCACCACCGAGATAACCAATGCGCACATAAGCACTGGGTTTACACTTCCGATTCGCTATAAGGCGTGGCCCGTGAATGCGGATGCAATATGCTTGAAGCATTTCCCTTAGGCTGCCGGAAGCCCGATGTAAAGTCCTGGTTGGCATTTCAGGTGTCGCTGGACTCCGTCAGAATGCTTTGAGTTACTTACTCGTTTACTGAACTTAAGATACTGCAGGTTTCTGCTGATGCGACTGGAGCGCAGAAACGCAGCAACAATGCTCAGTACAAAGCGTGGCTCTGTAGTAAAAACAGCCACTGGGGTTCATGAGACAATGTCGGAACCGAATTGAAATTTATGTGAACGATCCCAAACGTTGTCAGACAGTGCGACTAGATTGTCAGATCTGTGTCACAAATCCCGGGTAGCTTTTTGTGAGGAGCCATTGACTACTCTTGGCTGTGGAAGTCAAACCTCAAAAATGACATGGATAAATCACAATTCCAGTTTTACTTGCGGTAACCTCCAAAGTTTTGGAGCTTCTGTCTTTAGACCTCCCTACAATTTGCACCGAATGAGGTCATCGTCTATCCATATCGGACAGGTCGCACATTTTGATGCAACCCTGGGAACCTGTTTACACAACTTGTATCTACCGATGTCCCCGGATGGTAGAAGTCGTGCAGAGACCTGAATTCGCATAATGTTATTACTCTTGTTTCATTCGAATGAATCAAAGTATCGCTTCCTATTGTCCGTCAATAGCACTGTTTCTGAACGGAATTCGGGTCCGTTCCCACTTCGAGTGGGTTGTAACCCCGTAACCACCGGATAGAAGATGAAGAAAAGTATTAGCCAATAGAGTAACCACAAATGCGAGCGACGAAATTGAGCTCTTGTCACTGCGCCATTAACCAGGCCGAAGGCACTTCTTAAGCGAAGGCGCTTGTAATAACTCAGACAAAGTCTAACACATGATCGTTGACTCTCGGATGCACAATTAATCAGTTGGTTAGGCGAGGGTGCGTAATAAACGCTGCATCGTTGTGGTGCGAAGCTATCGTGGGCGTATTTTGGAGGAGCATGTGACCTCTTGGCAAGTGGCTTGTAAACAAGCTGGATCGTAACGTGAAGGAACACGTAACCTTTTCGGTAAAACTTGTCGTTCTTCAAGTCCATTGTTTGGACTCAGTTAGTTGGATGCGGTTGCATAGACACCGAGGGTCAATATTAGCCACGTCAGTGGATTTGTTCGCCCCATGTGCAGGGCTTTTGGACATCTGTCTGAAGACAATGCAATAGTGTGGTACAGCCATGTACTGTTTTACTGCGCCAACATACGTCCGTAAACAGACCACTGGGCACAGTCACACTGCTCCCTATGTCTGCTCCGCCTCTGGTTGCCCATAACTAAACTGTTGGGCAAATCTCTAGGTAGACAAATCTAATATGGTGGTGACTGAATTTCGTGATCTTCAAATGCCTGCGCCAGATTGAGTTCACCAACCATGTCACAGTAGAAATATCTTTCATACTCAGCAGTTCCAAAATAAGGTAGTCTTTTTAAGCACCTTTTCGGTATTGGTGGAGCACCTTTGTATCAAGTGCTATGTACTCGTCTCTTTGGGGGGCATTGGGGATCAGTCATACCTTAACACACAGAGCAACAACCTGCAATGCAAGTTGGGAAAGTAAAGAATCCCGAAAGCGTCGAGAATTGTGATCAGGCAGATAAGCCCAATAAACGGCACAATGAGCACACTTGCAATGAAGCCTCAATCACTGGATCGTAATAAATCTCTCTCTGTGTCACTCTCCATTAGTTGCCCTCGACCATTCAGACGTGTTCTATGTGGACTGGCATGGACTCGTAAAACAGTCCTTACATGCTCCTGTTCTACACCTAGTATCACCGTTTGCACGGAAGTATAGTCCAACGGTTAACCGGATGGGTTGGATGGCTCTAGTCTAAATAGTCTCTTTCTGGCTTGAAAAATGTAGAAACCCAACAGCAATTCTCTGTACTGTTCGGTACGTATGCGTTCCTACATCTTGGTTAACCTGTCATCCACAAATAGTGCTAGTATTTTGCTGCGAGACATTTTTAATCAAAGGTGTTTCACCTCACACATATTAATTCGTCTCGTGTGTAGGTTGTCATATGCTGAACGGTCTGTCGTACAGTAGATACGGTCGATAGATTTTTCGCCGACCCCTAAAAACACGATGAGAGGGTCATGGCTCAAGGTTCTGCAATGAGGACTCACAGTCATTGTATGCTGTGGCACGTGGCTGCGGTCTCACACGATCACCGCCTCAGCGTTAATGGTGTCTCTCATAATCACGACCAGATTGCACGGCTGCGGCGTCATCAGTAGTTCACTAAACATGTCGAAAAATATCCAACGTATTGGCGCATTTTAACGGGCACTGCCAGACGTACCTGGATTTGCGATGCCAATCTGACGCTTGGGTTTCGAACTCGGCCGTTTGTTGTTGCATGAAACGGAACTGCGCTACATAACCCGGTCGGCACTCATCCGCACTGAAGTCACCCAGTTCAGCTGTAGGGAAGCGAAGGTGAAAGGAGAGAGTAATGGTTTCCATCAAAAATTGTACATTTCAGAGCAATAGGTATTTGTAGATTACCGTAATAAGAAAGAGTATTTTAAGTGTGAGATCTCGTTTCCATAATTAGTTCAGATTAGTTGTAAAAGATAGGATAGTATTCTCTAGCGTATTACATGTGTGCTAAGGTCCCTTTGTCTGTGTTTGTTTTTGACGCAACTTGAGATTTGTCGAAGTGTGATTTAACGAATGCTATGGTGTGGTATGCTAACGTTGCTCGTAGATCGGTATTCAAGCCTCACCAGTGAGGCCAGTGCTAGGTCAGTGTTCTTCTCTTTACTGAACATAAAACTTGTGAATCTTCAGGCTCAACCGAGGATGCTAATCCGCTTCAAGTGTTCTCATATAACAGGTAGGAGCCATTACCCCATGTACGTGAATAATCCTGTTCACTCTTGAAATAACTGTTTCACCTTATGAAGGCTTGTCAACAATCGTGTTCACTTCAAGGTAGTTTCAATGATCAGTGTGAAGTGTCGCATTTTCCCACTACCGGAGTGTGAGTAGCAGCTTATCTCGCAAGGCGGCAAATTTGAACAAGCAATTGCAGCATGACTAGTGTGTAGCCGTTGTTGCAAAGTCCCCGATTTAAAATGTGAGGCAGTTCCAATGCAGGCAAAAACCGTAGTAAGTCATGGTGTTTATATACGACATTGGCATAAAGTTATGCCTCAGACATTGTACACAAAGCAGTTCGAGCATAAGTTGCATACAGTGCTCCCGACAGTTCCGAGTAAAATTAATACCAAATATACGCTTGCTAACCAGCTATCACCCCACAACTGGTTCCTTCTTTGTTTGAAAATTTCAAGTAAACATAGCCAGTACTCGAACACTGGTAGATATAATGCTGGAAAAAGAAACGCCTTGTTAACGTTTGCATGCAATTGTTCCTATTCATAGAAGGCGAATTTCAGTCGTCAGATATTTTTGCGACACAATACTGCAGTAAATCCAAAGAGGATGAGAATTGGCAGGAACGAACCAATCAGTGTTTTCTTGGGAATGTTACGTCATTGTTATTATGTTGTTGTCTTCACGGAAACTCACAGCACTGATTTTTGCTATAGCTGTAACCAGGTGCACATGGAGCAATGTTTGCAAGGATTTAATGCCCAGTCTGTGACCGGAGATGGGCATTGATTAAACAATTTTCCTTAGACAACAGTCGGATAATTTGGGTGAAAATAATTGGCCCATTTGAAGGGATGGCCCGAATTTCGTCCACAGGACAGCGTGGACCGAAACGGGAGCACAAGTGGGGTATAGCGCTATAGAAACCGAGTATTTGGCACGAACGAATGTACTGGATTCCCACCACAAGGTGATATCACCTGCTGCTGCGGGGACTGGCCAGATGGAAACATTGTCGCGTCGATGGTTGGTTGGTTAAAAAATTGTGGAAACATTCGCTACACCACATGCAGCTGGACTGTATTGCCCCACACGATATATTAAAGGTAGACACCGCTAAGTAACAGCTATCATCATCATCATCAACAACAACAACAACAGCAGCAGTACATCAGTAATTTGAACTGATGCTTCGTTGACATACAACCATCATGACCTATGAAATGAAGAATAATAAAAGGGAGAGAAGAGGGACTTACCTGAAAACCTTAATGCCCTAAGCAAACATTCAGGGTCAAGGCACTTACACCTTGTGTAGACAACAAACCGGCACGAACTGTCGGCTATCGTGCAAAGATAAGCGGGGGCTTGGGAATATCACAAGAGAATTCGCTAGTTTCATCAATGAGTATGACATGGAAATGAGCATGGAAGTTGTTTATAATACCACAATGTTACATGAGAAGGTAATTTTATTTGGGGCGTGCAACTTAACATTTTGCAGGGGTATGAATTTTGAAACCTTTATCAATGTCCATCTATAGTATCCTGGATTCCGACTCCAGAGTAGCGCACGAATGACATTCAGGTCACCTTCAGATGGGTGAGAGCTATGAAGAAAGAGCAGCAGATGCCGATTTTAAATACGGTCAGTTGTAACAAAAATGCCAGATTGATAGATTGTGCAGTCTAGACGATGCTCACTGTGACAATTATCTAGACGAAATGAAAGCTGTCGTATAAGATCTAGGTAAGCAACAATGGGAGGTATTAACTGAGGCGTTTTTTACTCTCTCAAGAAGAATAATGGAATTCCTAAGTAAATAACTGAGAGACTTTAAGAGTTGTACAAGGAGGTCCTGATAAATTCCTGGCTTTGAAAAGAAATAAGGGAGCTATAGTCATGAAATTACATATTGGTTTAACATATTCACCCCTTAGACTGATGCACTCGCTACAGCGTAGTTGCGATTTTTGTAAACTGGTTAGTTAAACATCATTCGATTATGCCTCAAACCACCTCTCAGCTGCACGCTTGGCGTCAGGAATATCTTCAGAACGTAGCCCTTACAGATTTTTCTTCAGGCTAGAGAAGAGAAACTAGTTTGACTAGCTTGGATCAGGTGGGTGGAGGGATTGTGGACCAATTTGAAACTCAGGGTGTTCAATTTGGCCGCTACAACATTGGACGTGCATGAAGGTGCATTCTTCTGCAAGAAAATGATAACTTTTGTCAGCTTTCCATGACATTTCCCCTTAATCGCCACGAGCAACTGGTCCAGATTCTCATAGTACTGTCCAGTAATACTGGAACCATGAGGAAAGTAGTTCACGAACAGAACATCCGCCCTGTACGCGCTGCGGAACAGGTTATGTGTTATGAGGCATATTTCCACATAAATTTCGCACCTTTAGTTCAAGGTATGGTCGTATAGATGTTGGGTCGAACAGCCGCGAATACTCGCAACTACCGAACAGCCAACCGAAATGATCGCTTCCGCCCAATTGTTCGAGAATGGGGTGCGTAACTACCTAGTGACGTTGGCGTGCCAACGCGGAACATCGACATAATCTTCTTTAACCACTGGTCTATGCCCAGTATTTGTCGCCACCAATAGTGGGAGCAATGGTATCTGCAACCCGGTTCTTGGAAAGGAACCTTCTTATTCGTGGTGGAGTATCTGTGAAATTTGGAAAAGTTTTTGTCGGCTAGGTCATATTTTTCGCGGGCCCGTTGACCAACACATTAATGTATATAATGCTTGTAGCCAATGCGTCCAGATGGGTGAAACCGCGGCTTAGCCAATCGATAGTTAGGAACAAAGCTCGAAAAGATTAGCAGAGACACTTGGAACCTACTATCTAGTGTTTGGTACAGGGACTTAACCAACAGCAATCCTGTATTCGGTCACCTGAATCTATCAGTTGACAGCAATGCTTTGCTAAAGTCGCATACATTTTGTTCTGAACCTCATTATATGCAAGCTGCGTTTTAATTTATCCACGGAATCATTGATAAATACGGTCATCATAGGGAGTCAATCATGGGAACGGGGCAGGCCGCATTCCGAATCCCTGATCATAGTTGTTTAACTGAACTGAATTAAAAAGCTTGGTGTTGAATGTGTCGCCTCGAACAAACAAGTCACAGAGGGGATATCGTGACAAGTTAAGGTCGAGATTATCCACTGAAATGGACGGAAATCAAACAACTGATGAGGTCGCTAAGGTGCCAGGTTGCCAGTACAAGCAAAAATAATAACAGGTAACTCGATTTTGTTCAGCATCGCCTCCCCTTAGTTGATAGTAAACCCAAACGGGTAATCCGGATGTTTACTATGTGACGCCACAGCACTAATCTTTCACTGGCCAGGCCTCTTTCACCACAAACTCGCTGATCGATTACCCAGCCAACTGAGAGTTGCTGACCATAAGGTCCACTGGATTATGCCTCAGCCTGGCAACTGAGGACGTAGTTAAACTAAGGACTCAGTGGCCTCTTCAGGCGAATTACTACACCGAAGAGATACTCTGGCAGATGAGTTATGGCAATTCACCTATCCCGTCTGTCACTTCCGTTTGGACGTTTATACTGCCCAGTGAAGTAGATAATTGGTTTTGATCGTTCTCCTTTCCTGTTACTGCATACTAGTTAATAATCCGGGCGTGTGATGGCTGTCTGAGTGAGTCTAGATGTGACGGATTTCTACCTATGATATTCAACTCCCCTACTACTCCTCTTTAATCAGTACGCAGACCAAACTGCTTATAATGCCATAAGTTAATTGGCGGCTTAAGTTTGGTAAGCTCGTCGCTTGGTGTGCGGGGCTACCCTGTCCTCTGCACGGTAGTAACGTGTAAGTTAGTGGTTAGTGTTTGGCTCTATATCACATCTAGTAACTTATTCACGATGGTCGTTGCCGTCTGCCGTAGATCAGTGGTCTCAACCACGGAATGGCAACAGTTAAGTTGCGGGTTCGAGCCTTACCAGAGTCCGATGGAGTGCGCACTGCTGACGATTCCCCAAAGGATACAACGCGCGTACAGTGCTTTTCCGGGCATGTGATGGCTGTCTGAGTGAGTCTAGATGTGATGAATTTCTCCCTAAACTATTTGATAATCGTCAAATATTAATGGTTTAGCTGGGATAGGCGAGGCAAATTAGGGCGGGGTTTGCTTCTAGAATGCAATCCGGACAGAAAATGAACCGTTGAATAACGCCTCCCCACCATGATGCACGTGATTTGACCACAGCATACAAACACCGGAGAGGTGGACCACAGCGATATTGTTAACAGTTTGGGTGGCCAACTAGTGTCAGAACCATGGCGAGTTAGTACTTTCTACACGCAGGATTTATCCCAGTCAGCCATTCTGGGTTAAAAGACAAATTCAGGGGAAATCTGAACACATTGCTATAGAACTCACCTTAAGCAGCCAAGGCCAAGATCAACGGCATGAAAATACCCACTAATTGGTACCATCGACAAAACACTGTCAATTATCCATTTAACTATCAGATTTGTTCGTATAATCCATCTTTTGCTTATCCAAAAAAATACGTACAGATATTCACAGTTTG